TCATCAGCAAATTTGAACAGGGTGCTTTTTACACCCTCGTACAAGTCACTGATGAAGATGTTGAACAGTGCGGGCGCGAGGACCAAGCCCTGTAGAATCCAACTGCCCACATCCCTCCAAGTCGAAAATGACCCATCCACCACCACTCTCTGGGTGCGTTATATGTGCATGTTATATGTGAGAAAATACAGTATGGTTCTCTCAAACTTAGCACTGGATGCAGCAGCTAAGTCCAGAGCACAGCATTTGAGAAACGTGAATGAACTACTTCAGAGTTGCCTTGTATATTTCAAATATCTGCACACTTTGGAACCAGGCTGAGAATGTCGTTTCAGCTTTGGTAAAGCAAGGTGTAATACTCCATAGGACCAGCCAGCTGGTAACATGATGAGATGCAATGTCTGCGCTATAGTTTTTGACACTTTGCAATAAGACTCTGGCCTTTGGAGTGACCAACTGTGTCCCTAAGTAGATGTGGTGGAGGAATTACATAAACTGTTCAGTCCTATCACTTTAATATTTTAAACCTATGAATAACTGTCACCAGCGAGAAAACTTCAGGCATTCGTAACAGAATCCCTAAATGCATCATTCCAAAAAGACAAGGTGGCACCTAGATTTCATGCAAAACTCATTCTAAATATGGTTTCTGAGCTCCACCTAAAGCAATCAATCAGTTGGCTGCTTCTTTCCAAAATCATATCCCACACAAAAAGAAAAGCCACCACACACCATGCAGAGAGAGAGAGAGAGAGGTAGTATACAGAGTTTTCAAAGGACTTTAGGAAGTAGATGCTGATATTCCATACTGGAATAGGTTCTCCAACTTGTAGATAAGCCCACGTTAAACCCTTAAAAAACTGGATAATGTGGTCAGGTAGTAAGGATGGGAGAGTCTGGTAGCATCCACTTGCAACAAAAATAAAAAAAAGTTCCCAGGTTAAAAAGGTCCTTGATATTGATGGACCCTCTGAGCAGGAAACACTGAAAACCCCATGGCCAGATTGGACACACTGGCACTGTTGGGTAGATCATTGTTCTGAAATGCTGGGGTCTGTCAGCCCATCTGTGGGGTACTGTTCTCTGACAGGTGACTACAGTGCATAGACATCAAAGGACTTGGTGATTCAATGACAGAGGAGGACCTCAGCCAGCATTAACACAACAAAGACGCAGCCAGAGCCAAAGAAAAGATGCTCTGGATGTAGCAGATGGGAAGCTGAAGGATGAATGATGGACCTGGGAATGCTGCCACTGGAGCAATCAGGATAGGGTCTGGTGTTAGAGAGTCGTGCCAGGTGCTGAGAAGTCTGCAGAGTTAAGCAGTACTGGGTACTGGCTATTTTGGTAAGACCAGGAAAATTGCTGCCAGGTGTTAGGCTGATGGAACCACCTGTTCCACTACCTGGGTTAGTACTTGCTGAATGTGGGAATATCAAAAGCTCTTCAGTTCATTGGAGTATTAATGAATTGTGACCACTGGATGGCTCATGCCGGGGTGCTCTCCTCAACTCTCACACTCTGGTCTGTCTTAGTGCCAAACAGAGCCAGTATATCTTGATTTTGATCTCTCCAAGCTTCTACAAAAATTCTGTAGAGCCAAGAAGTCTTGCGGTCAGGTGATCTGGCCATGGCTAAAGCACTTTTTCTGTGATCCATATCTTTTACCCACATAGGCAGAGGTCTCTGGGGTCTTTTCTTCTTCATGCAAACCTTTCTTGGGGCAATGGGATCTTTGCTTTGCACCCTCCCACTGGCACCTGGCCTGGGCAGTCCCAGGGGGCACCACAGCCATGGAGGGAAGCACCAGGCCCCTGCACAGCTCAGGCAGGCAGGCAAGCTCTGGGGGTGGGGGGAATAGAAAGAAGAACAGGCTTGCCACCTTTTTTTCCCCCCTTCAGTGGAGCTGTCTGCATGGGCCACCACCAGGTCCCACAGCCCCCGAGTTGAATGGGACCTGCCCAGCCCTGAGCACGTTTGCTTCCAGCGTTCTGCGCACTGTTAAGTTTTGTTAGGTAGCAAACTCAAAGACCTTGGAGGTGTTTTATCTTGCTATGTACCAAAGTCATTTAAAGCAGAATACACCACTGAGCGTGCAAACAGCAATGCCATTAAAACGGTGCAAAAAGGCATTTAAGCCGCGTTAAAGGCCAATTTTGTGGTGTGTACAAAGGCCCTTATACTCATATTGTTTGATGATGGCAGCGATTTTACATTTGTTCGTACCTTGCAGTTACCTCAAATCTTCTTTAGCAGTGAGACCAAGGCAACAGTGGTATCTCAAAGCAAGTAAGACGACTTTGGAAAGAATGGACTTCCACAAAAAACAGCTACTTCCTGCTCCTTCAGCCCCCAAGCGCACACTGTCATTTAGCAATTGGCAGCTTTATAAAACTGAGCTACCAGTGCTCTTGTAATTTAGCTAGGTGCCACGGAAAGAGAGAAAGGATATGTGGGCTGACAGGATGCTGGCTGACCTTGTAGACCTGACCACTTATTCTTTATCCCTTAATCACACCAATGGGAACCATTACAGTGTTGGTGAAAATGGAATTACTGCCCACTGTTTCTCTTCTCTGCCCTGTTCCCTTCTCAGGGCTGGTAACAGAGCAATGTCACAACCACAAAAACAAAAACAGAAACAGACAAAGCCACACGGCAAATATGGGAATAGAATTTTTTCCAAGGTTTTTTTTCTCTCTTCTAGCTGACTGAAATATAACCTAAGCATCTGGACTGATCTAGAAAAACATAAGAGTACACGTTTCCTTTCTATTTGGACTACATAGTATTTAAATTAAAATAATCAAAAAAATCCTTTGTAAGACACGGTTACTAGAGTATTATGTTATAGAAAGTTATTAATTCAAGCACCATTCCAGGATGCATCTCTTATTCTACTAATCTAAATATTTTCACAAGCAGTGTCATATGATCCTAAATACTCGGTTTTATGGTATTACAAATATGACAGCAACATTTCGACTATTCAGAGCAAATCTCTATGGATTTAAAAGGTATGTCAGGCTGCATGCATTTGATAAAGCATAAAATGACACCCTGGAAAGGTACTGAATAATTTATATTTATCAGGACACTTTCATGAGGATTTTACACAATCCCTTTACCCAAACTTCAAAATAATTATCTGACTTTGCTTTTCAAACTGATTAACTTTGTTCTGTAATGTACAGAATAGCACTTGTATGCCATAATGTAAATGAAACCAGCACTTTTATACTATGTAACAAATTTCCATAACATAAATTATTCATGCCTCATACGTGGTTCTGGTAATATTAAGAGGGCAGAATGCTTTCCTCCAACTCCCCCCTAGAACTTCAAAGTATTATTTATGATAATTTAGCCGATAAAATAATCAAATCTGCATCACTGAAATGTACAGAAAGCTATAAAATGTAATGTGTGTATAAGAAAATGGACTATATTTCTCATACTAACTGTTTCAACCTTTTCTTTTAGCAAGATGGGATAAACTAAATTCCCCCAAAATGGATGTTTAAACTCAGGCTATCAGCTTTCTAACCATGATTAACATTTGCTAGTAAATTACCAGCAATTTGATTTACAAGACATTAAAGTGTAAGATCATGTTTACAAGAACAGTTCATGAAAACATATTTGTAGGTTTTTGTGTTCAACTGATCATATTAAAAGGATTAGAGGATTGTAAGGAGAGAGAAGAACACTGATCATCTACCCCAATCTGGATACCACCAGCTATGGGATTTCCCTTAATTAACTAACTGGCAATATGAAAGCAGGACACTGAGCAGATCTGTTCAGTATGTATATTCAGATAATACTTGCATACTTCTCTGACAAATATTTTTCTATTTCCTATTAGCCCCATTAGCACTATGGAGGCGACCCAGTTAGGAGACTGTGAAACGTATTTTTTCCTAAGCTATGCACCATCATTGCTTTTGGCAACTTAACCTCAACTGCTTACAATCAAAGCTAGTCTAATTTTAAGATTTTGAATCTTTTGGACTAATTTGCATCAGTCTAGTTAATTTGCATAAAACAGCCTCCACTCAGTCAAAAACCTTTCAATACTTTTTAAAGGACAGAAATTATTTTTCTAGAATTTTCTTCTCTCTTTCTGAAGGTATTTTTATGCCATACCAGGAAATACAATACCTTAAAATAGGTTAAAGGCCAAAAAAGAGCACGCGATTCCCTGAGATTCACTACATATTTAGCGGGTCCCCAGAACAGCTTTGATTTATGGCCGAGAGCTCTCATCTCAGTCCTGCTGCATCCCACGGTCTGAACACTCGAATTTATCAGCTCCCTACAGTTTGGCAGTCTCCTTCTAATTCATGCATCTTTCTCTTGCAATACTAGTGCGTGCTCTCACTTCTTCTGGCTCTTTGCTGGGTTATACAGCTATCTTTTCCCCTTCCTACTAGATCTGTTTGCAGGAGTTCTGGAAGACGATATCCTTTGTAGGATGAAAAATTATACAAAGCTTAACTATCCCTCAGGACAAATAGATCAAAATGGTTTGTTTGCCCCCCACTTTGTATAGTTTATAATCTTACTTCCATTCCTCTGGAGGATGGGCTAGTTCAAATTTCTCCCTCACATTGGACACACCCATGTCCAGATGTAGCCAGTGGACCTCCTCAGACTGCAGATGGCTGAGCCGTAATCCATAACAGGCCACGTTCTTCACTTTGTGACTGTCTACTATCTTCTGAATTATGCCCTGAAAGACACAAAAATGCTTACTGTTACACATGCTTACCTTCCATGTCTGCAAAGGGTTGAAACAAACTTTATACAAAAAGGTATTAAACAACATCTTCCTGTTTAGTAAAAATGAAATATATACATTAAAGCAAACTAATCACTGTGTGCACTTGTATTATTGCATTGCCATAATTTCAGGCAAATACTTCAGTTTGGATTTTAGATTACTATGAACCAGTCCCTTTAATGTCTTGTCATAACCGAGCCACTCTACATAACAAAATGCTGGAAATAAGAAACAAACCTACAGATAATAAGGGCATGAAAAATGTAAAGGCATCCCACTGAAGCAGTAGAGACAGGACTTCACTGTTTCCTTAACCTTGGCACAAGAAGGAGGTGATGTGGTCACAGCAGCACGCGCCAGCTGACTTCATTCCAGGTAGATATTGGTACTCAGTGGATAAGATAGTGGGTGGAAATGATGAGTGGAAACCCATGGCCCTCACCTTGGAATGAATCCCAGTCACCTTACATGGCTCCCAGAAAGGACATTACTTGTCAAATTTTTCCAACTCTGCCCTTCTTGAAAAGGTCTTCCCACCTACTACAGGAAAACATTCATAAGCATTCCTCTTTTGTGTCCTAGTGGACAAGAGTAGTAAAAGGGTCTCTCTCTCAAAATCCTTGACTGTTCCACTGAACTTGTTCTTACGGGTCAACACTGATCTCTCCCAGGACAGCAACATTCGCCATATCAACAGCTGTTATTCAGGTAGATGCTCAAAAAAGAACAATCCAGTTTAACCTCTGGTAAACTGTAGAGTTTAGACTAACCTCTGGCAAACAGCAACCAAAGTAAAGGATAAGGCAGCATGTATGCTGTTATCAAATGCCACAGAAGCAGAGAATCAAGGATTAGTACCTAAAGGATGAGGTAAATGGCACTTTATGGCTATAGGCTGTGGCTGTGTTGGTCTAAGGACATAGGCAGACAAGCTTCTTTGGGTATATCTGATATATTTTATTAGACCAACTAAAACAGTTAGAAAAATTCAAGAAGAGTATTTGTACCCAAAATCTTGCAAAGAAGAATTTTTCCAGCTATTTTAGTAGGTCTAATAAAATATATCTGAGTTACCCAAAGAACCTTGTCTGGCTATGGCACTTTATGCAAATTCACTATTCTGTATCTCAAAGTATTTGAATTGTTGGGGAAAAAAAGCTAAAAGCTCTGTAATATTGTAAACACACATACACAGAGCATTCATCTGCCCCTTATGCACCAGTTATTAAGTCTATAATGATCCTTAGATGACCTGTCATCATTAATATAGTGCATGATGAGGTGTAAGATGGTGTAAAGCCTACAAAAAGGGAAGATGAGTCAAGCTAAATAAAGTGCTAATTTCTCGCTTAGCCTGTTTATAGAGAGTGACAACAGAGTGCTAAAGCTGGTAATGCTCTTTTCTTTCCATTTAACAGAAGCCTGATTTTATGCATTGCTGTTTGTATAGTTCACTAAATGCTGTGGAGTACAGCTGCCCATATCCAGGGTTACACAGAGCAGTGCTACTTCCAAAAGTACTTAGTTAAACAAAGACAAATGTTTAACCCCTTCCTCACCCTAAGGGCAATCTTTGTTTAGTTAAGTAAAGCCTGACATTTTGGCAAGCATCCTCTTCTCTGAAAGGCATGCTGCCAACTTTTTCCATATGCGCATGAATAGAAAAGATGTGGAATGCAATTCATTCATTTTCTTTGCTTTTTGCATTTCCACAAAGTGCATAACAGGCAGAGCTCATTTCAGAAATCTGCCCCATTTGGAAAGTCTCCATCAATAATGAAAGCAAGGGTCAATGTTTTTAACATGCTGTTGAACGTAAACTGCACCAGGACGATGAATTTGAGAAAAGAAAATCAAGATATAACAAGGCATTTTCTACAACGGAAAACATGGAAAATATTGATGCCCAAGTCACAGTTAGAAATCAGCGAATAACAAAGTATATAGCCTAGGAAGAACTGGACACAATATTCAAAAGTCTCCCTACATTTTCAGACATTCTCAAAAGCACCTAAGGAAACTAGGGAGCCAGTTCTCACTGGAAGTCAGCAAAAGCTAGGTGAAATACGCTTGTCAACCTAGGAAACAAATTGCTTCCTCTAAGCCCTATTCAAGAAGAGTACAATTGATCCTCCACCTAGACAACTAATCACAGCCTATGAAAGACTATGTCCCTTGTGATTGAAAAAAAGCTGCCATGTGCATAAATAGACCATTATCTGGAAATGGAGAAAAAACTAGATTTATTTCTCTTTTCAAAGTAAAAAATGATGAAAAAATAAAGTTAACTACAACATTGATCAAAATTAGTTATTTAATAAATTAAACATACTAGGAACTAAAAACTAAGTTTCCAAATGTGTAATAATTCTTATGAATTTGCTGTGTTTATATGCAAAGCATAAGTAGTATTTCCAATGAGTCAAAATAAACAACATTTTACACTAGAATTCCCTCTGATTATTCTAACACTACAGCAAAACTCTGACCCAAAATGGCAGGAAGGAGGAGCAGGGAGGAAAAGAGGAAATTATGTGGTGATCAAGCTATTCAAATTGACTGGCCCTTTAGGCAACCTTGGTAGGCGAAAAAAAATACATTCGTTCTTTACAAATCAAGTATTTCGTGCTGGATCAGTGTCTTAACCTTGGCAACCAATGCAGAGAAAGTCCTGGGGCTCTGGACAGCTATCTAGCGGCAGTTTCCATGCCAGACAATGCGTCTGTCCTAACTTCTGTATGAATGACAGCTTTTCTGATCAATGTAAATCCATGTGCGTCCACTGGCTACAGGTACTGACACCACGCGAGAACCTGTCCCCCGACCAAATGGGGGGACTGTACACTCAGCACCCACAGAGTTAGATTGGCTGTGTTTTCTTTTGTCTTGCTAATATTTCAGAGCATTCAAAGATTTATCTCCGAGAGCTTTACTGGCACAGTGGCCATAATTTGGTTCACTGTGCTCAATTCTTAACCTTGGCAACCAATGCAGAGAAAGTCCTGGGGTTCTGCAAAACTATCTAGAGGCAGTTTCCAAGCCAGACAAAGCATCTGCCCTAACTCCTGTATGGATGACAGCTTTTCTGTCTTTCATGCGCACAAGGGGCTTCCCAAATTGGAAAGCCTTGCCAGAGGCACTCCTCCTAATACTGATTAGAATATTTAATCAGGGTTTTCCAGACAAACAGTTTAACTGCTTAACAACTGTAGAGCAGAGACTAGAACAGCCGGAAATAAGCTGTGACTTCACTTATTTTTAAATCTAACCACAGCCAACAAATGTCTTCAATCGTCTGGGGGTCAAGTGCATCCAGTTTGTTTGTTTTTTTAAATGAGCTCATGAGACAAAAACCATGCGTCCTAAACTAGAGTATAGTTTAGGACACACTGCAGAGTACAAAGCAGAGTACTCTGCTCGGTGACCTGTTGGTGACCTGGGTATAGTAAGGTTTCCAGCCTAGGAACAGGGACATACCTCCCACACACCGTCACTGCAAATGTTACTGTTTGTGCAACACCTCACACAGGTCAAGTGCTTATGCAAGTGCTAAGTATTAACATTTCCAATGACTAATGAACCAGTTTTTCATACTGGAAGTTTAAGTTACAAGCTTAATTGTGCCAAGCTCCAAAATTAGTCAGATTTTAAATCTCTGAAAATGCAGAACCCTGGAATGCTTATTCATGCTCGCTGTACTTGGACTCGGTCACGGTAGCTCTATTCATTTTTTTATTCCTTTAAATCAACATATTTTGCATTTTGCTTCTCAGCCAATTATTTCAGCAGACTACACCAACAAAAGAAAAGGCGCTCCACACACCAAAATTATTTTTGTTCATTAGTTGCAGTTAACTAGATGATTGTGGTACAAATAGGGACTGTTTACAGCTACTTTTATACAAAAGACTATTTAGCTATATTCATAGGGCTATTTCTAGGAATCTTAGCAGGCAAGTATATATATTGCTTACAAGCAGTATACCTATAAGCCCATCCTTTGGTTCTGGTACTAGTCCATAATGTGGGTACGTGCTGAAGAAAAGGATAAAAATTAAACAACTATAAAGAAAAGAGCAGACAGTGCCAGATATCTAGCTAGTTGACAGTGATGCTCAAGAACAATGCCCATATTTAGCTAGCATAACAAATCACTGTTACATTGGTTATTCCTGCTAATCAAAATTAGCTCCATGGTCTCAACAATAGATGTGTCAGTGAGAATAAGCAGAAACAAGTTCCAGACAGACCTGGCCTTTGCAGGAGATGACCTAGTTCTTTGCAATGCCTAATAAAACCCGTGGTTTTGATTCTGTTTGCATTCTGATGCTGCTAATGATGAAAGGCTCGAGTCCATTCCCAGTGGACGCCCAAGAAGTCTTCTGTTTGCTGAAGCTCTTTCCCAAGTACTGCATGATTGCCAACAGAACGAAGCCCACTACTTCGTAAGCATAATTACGTAACACCACGGGTGTTCTCCTGCCCTGTAGAGCAGACTCTCGATGCATTAAAGCCTCTTTCCAGTCCATCTCTGTAAATGGTGCCACAGGAACCTTGTTAGGACTTCTGTGGCCTTGGACTGAATGCAATATAATAATCAAGCCCATGTATATAAATACCCAAGGAAGGGCTCAAGAGCCAAAAGCAGAAAAGACTCGGGGGAATGAAGGTATTGTGAGGAGAGCTAACCAAGAAACAATAGAAGAACACAGATTTTGTAGGAGATAGTCAAGAAAGCAAGTAGAGGCAGACCAGGAGGAACAATGGAAGGGGAAAGTTTAGGAAACAGGTGGGAGGTTGGGAGAGAGAACAGAAGGTAAGAAAGAACAACGAAAAAGCAATAAATATCAAAATGAAGGGTACTACGAAGAAAAGCAAAGATGCAAATTTGAAAACTGCCTTAATTATCCATGTTCCTACACTTCAGCATGTTCTTCTGGGACAAAAGG